AGTTAGAGGCTACCTCAGCAAATCATCACTCTCTGTCAATAACCACACCCCTTTGTTATTTACCAGCATGGTGGAGGCACTCGTTAGAGGGCTAATCTGTCCTGAGGGAACCTACTGCAGCTCCCTATAGAGTATATTCTGGAGCTTTTATTATTGCCAATGCAGCTACGCTTTGGGGTGCTGTTTGGGGGTGGGGCACATAAAGGTGGAGAGAGTTGCCCCCTTTTGCTTTGTCTGTGTCTCTGGGATGCTCTTTGTGGCTGTTGTTGCTTCCCTGCAGTGAGGTTGTACAGGTGGGTCAGGGTCGTGTATTTTGGTTTTGACTGTGTTAACTAATTAAATACATCTATAATCAATGATAAGATATTTATGGTGGAAGTCAATTGTTCCGGAGCTTCTAATTTAAGAAATAGCAGATTCCATTCAACATTGATGGCTTTACAGCTAATCTTTCTAAGCTAACTAAATGTTTAGAGTTTTTATAATTTTTTAAAATTTTTTAGACCATACCTCTAATGCCGTGCCTACCTTTTTCCATTGTCTCCCACTTTGCAGATGACAACATACAGGGCTCATATTTTTTCATTTAAACATTAGTTATTACATCAAGTTCACTTGGGTAGCGTAACATCCGACTTGGATTTTTGTCAACCCGTAATTTAGCTGTGCTTCTTTTCCCTCTATCCCTGAATCATCTTCCCCTTGAAACATGCCATAACCTATGAAATATAGTAATTCAGGACTAGAAAGAGACACAGAGCAATATTGTAACACAGAGCTAAGTATAATGGCAGTCTAGAATTATCTTGTAGCGTCAATCCCACACAGATTCAGGACTATCAGGTCTTATTCCTAACATGAACCATGACTCCCCATTTAAAATGTAATCTTTAAGAGTGTGACAGTGTGAAGTGAGAATCAGAATTATTTATGCCAACAGGGTTCCTGTTCTTTTGGTGCAACCGTCTGCTGTCAGACAGAAGAGGCCAAAGTCTGTTCTTCGTAAAATGAATATTTTAAACAAGGTGACAAATTATTTTGTCAATCAATTCATTCTTTGATATGACTAAGCTTAGGGAGTTGTGTATGGGTGCTAGGAGCACAGAGGAGAGGAGTGGAGTGGTACCAGTGTATGAAGGCCTTATCATACCAAACTGTTGTAGGAGTCATATCTTAGTCTTTCTAGGTTTTTTTTCTTCAACCTATTTCAGCTGTCTCCCCTACTATCACAGTCACAGCCAGGTTGGAACCCCAATAGTTGGGATGGTGCTCTCTGGCTAATGTGTGCAACATAGATTAGACCCATAAGCAGCTGGTGACCAGACTTCACAGTGCTGTTAAATGGGATTGTCTTGTTTCCACTGTATAAAGAAATCACCAGCTGCCCCCATGTGAATGACTGACTATGTTTTCAAGAGATTCCACAGTGACCTGGTTTCCAAAGTCGAAACATGTTGGGTTGTGTTGAATGCTTTTATCTGTGTTAATTGTGTGGTTTTTTGGTTCTATGATGCACTTTGGTGAGGTCTGTGTTCTGTCTGTTAGAGACACTGATGCTAGAGCTAATACTGTGGGTTTGTGTCGTACGAGCAGCAGAAAATATTCAGTCAAGACACAGTTGGTGGAACCTTTAGCCGTTAGCGCTTCTGATTTTGCCATTTCTCTCTGTCACATGACTCCCATCACAGTAAGAAACCATGTCTTGAATTACGTGTTAAAAGAAAAAAAAGAAGGAAAGGAAGAAGTTACGATTACTTTAAATGACCAATAGTTGGTCTTTGCTTTCGTCCAGATGGCCTATGTTTTTCTTTGGAGGTGCAAAGTCACACAGACAACTGCTAAAACTCACTGTCACTGTAGTCTGGTTCCCCCAGAGATGACTCATTGTCCTGCTGGGCCTAATCACATCAGCTTCACCACCCCCACTTCCCTCTCTGCCCTGAACCCACATTCTTTACAGCTTCCCTCCCGCCTCTCTACCTTCTGCTCCTACTGTTTCTCCCCACTTTGTGTTCTTAGTTTTATCAAAACTGAAGAAAGCACTTCTTTCGCCCAATAATTACCAACATTTGACTTATGCTGCTCACAGACAAACTCCTGCATCTTATGACTGGAATTAGATATTTTTAATCATCCTCATGTTCTAAAATAAATAATACATTTTAAAGACTGCTTTTCTTTTTGAGTTGGTTTACAATTAGGTACTGTACTACAGCAGAAGAAGCTCTTTTTTTAAAAAAGCCACTGTACGCCATCAATAATGGAGAGTAATTGTCTCTTTTGATAGACAATTGATTAGCAATAGGGCTATAACAGTGCCTTGTGGTATGAATTAATTTAGCCTTGAAGGCTAATGGTGTTATTGGACATGTCTGGATGGGTCTTTTTTTTTTAAATGAGGCGAAAGAGGATGGGGGAGAGGGGGGGGGGTGAAGAGGCTGGTCTTCTGTGTAAAAGCTCCTGAATGTGAAATAATCTGCCGGTTTCAGAATAGCTGATAAGCTTTTTGCAGTGTGGCAGTGCAGTAATTATTTACATCCCATATAGTAGTGCTATTAAGGTCTGTCTGTTTTTGTCAGGGATGGTAGAACTTTCTGCTGAGGTGGGCCCCAGAGTGACATGAATATAAACACAGTAATGGACGCAGTAAAAGATGAAGCAGGTTGATCATGGATTTTGGTCTAACATGAGCACCAACGGCTGTCTGTCAAGTTTCCATTAAGAAAATGACGTCTCAGTCTTTACAAATGACTGCATGCTAGTGGAAGCAGACTGTTTAACGTCACATTAGTGGCTTTATCAAGGGCAATTTAGGGCAGTGTGTAACTTAAAGCATAAAGCACTCAGTACATTTATAGATGCACATTAGAGTTGAACTTCTGGACCGTTGGACCTGGATATATCTTTGTGTACATTTAAGAAAAGTCAATTTGTTGAGTACTCCAGACTCTGATATGCTAAGTTGCAGAAAGCTTCAATTCAGCCTGCCTAAGGCTAGCACGAAGTAAGCTAACGCTACATCCTTAAACTTAATTGTATCCTAAGTTTTACACCCTCTAAGTTAAGGTGGTTTTATAGTGAATTGTGTGTGTTTCTATTGAAATTGACTTTTCAAACACAGTCCTCTGTGACTGGCAAATAGCACAAGAACATTGTGACTAAGATTTTCACGATATTATTGCCGTAGTGTAAAAACAACATGAATAAACACCATAGCCTGGCTTGTTATTACACTAGTGTCACCTCATATAGTGTCACATCGCAATGAATCAACAGGACTTTATGTTCTTTATATAAACAATTTAAGAAAATATTTCAACTCACTGGTGTGAGAGATCTGTCCTCAAAATGATTATAAAACTGATCTATCATTATTGAAAATGATAAAAAGTAGCTTCTTATTTATACTTTTTGTATAATTACAGTGTATAAATGACCTTCACCTTTACATATTTATTTAGTCTTGGCTCAGTCAATAAAATGTCCCAGTAGATGATGGTTATTGATTTTTTTCTGTTTGTTTGACATTTTCAACACCGTCACAACACGACTGTAAGACGACTGCTCTCTTTGATTTGGTGATTCTTATACTTTTTTTTTTTCAACACCATAATGTTGCTTTTGGCCAAGCTTTAAACTAAACTGACTGCTGCTATAGCTGTTGAGACCTGCTGTACAGAATAGAACTGTAATGGAGGATGAACGGCTATAATTAAATGATATTTTCTCTTGAAGAAGAAACTGAAGAAACTAATCCAGTCTCTAGGCTTTTGCTGTGCTATTTATAATCACAGTTCAACATTTTGATCCTCCATCCTTCACTGAACCAGACAAACTATTTTTAGGGACTTATTTCTCTAGGGAACTATGTGGACTGTGAACCTCATGTCCTTTTCCTTGTTTGTTCTTTTTTTTTACCTTCATCCTTTTTTAGGTTTTTATCAGTCGGTTGTTATCTTATTCATTCTTCATGAGGCAGTGTTGTCTTGTGCTGCAGATGTGGAACAGTCCCAAAAGCAAAGTCACTTGACTTGTCCTTATCAGGTCACACTCACATCATATTGATAAAGTCTCCTCTCTTCCAGTGGCTCATGCACAGGACACACACCACCACTCCGCAGAGAAGCCCCTGATTCAGTGCTACAAGTGTGGGGAGCCATGTAAGGGCGAGGTTCTGCGAGTTCAGAACAAGCACTTCCACCTCAAGTGCTTCACCTGTAAAGGTATGTTGATAAACGTCATTCTCCATGAAAATTAAACTCCCCTTTCCTGCTACACACATTTGATGGACACGTTTGTACAGTTATTGAAAAAAATGATTTTTATTTTTTCTGAACAGAAGAACAAAGTGGGAGTTGTGTGAAAATGGTCATTGAATGTGTAAAGTGTTAAGACGCAGTGTTAATATGATGGTAACACAATAGAAGGGTGTTCGCCTCCTTCAGTTTACGAAGCCACACAACTGCTTCCTGAAATACAGTAAATGATCATCCTTAGCATAAAAACTACTGTGTAGAAATTTGTCTTTCTCCATGATTTGCCATCCAAATCCACAGTTTGACAGAGACAGTCAGTTCCGTAAACTCCACAGCTCCCCAACAATCCTCTTTTAACGAGGAGATTGAGGGTCTTTTGTTAAAACCATCCGTTGTTATGACAAGTGACAGTGCAAATAGTTCTTCATTTAAGCTTATTACCCAGAGATTTGTTGTGCCACTCTGAGAGAGTGTAGCCGCCCACGTCTGGACACTCTTGCAGAATGGACGTGTCCAGATCGAGCCTTTGTAGTTAATCTTATCATAGTACCATAATAGAACCAACTAAATTCAGCCGCAGCCTAGAATAACTCGAGCAAACGCAGGGATTAGGGTCTAATTCCGACATCTTCAAGCGGATATTTGTGGTATATTTTAAAGGTAAACTGTGTAGGTTAACAACATACACTGTATTTAATGTAAATACGGGTTTGAATAGTCAAAACGTTGTAGTGTTTTTTTTAAATGACGATGAATTACAGTAGTCTGAGCTGACATTGTCACATTAGCTAAACTGAAACTCAGAAACAGAGAAGAATCTAGGGTTAAAAAGAAAAATAATTGTTTTTAATTTCCTTAGTTAACCCTATTGGATTTCAAAAGCGCTTTGATGTTAATGATATGCGTGTATTGAAAAGCCACAGCGGTTTGACATGACAGCCAAAGGCCAGGAAATCCACTGCTGGCTTTTCTTTTGACTCTGTTAGTCTAATCTAATCTCATCATCCCTGAGCCCTAATGCAATTAATTTCCTCACTTGTTTCCATTCATCCCTAGGATTCAGGATCAGCTCATTGTGCAAGAATAAGAGTTATCTCAAACATCAAAATATTTTCCCCATTAGCCTCGGGGTTCCTAAAAGGCTTTTACATTCCCAGACATACTTGGAGGTAATCCGTGGTAGACTGCATGATCCATGTGAGCAGGAAAACCTCAAGGCATTCGTAAAATATGCTCATGGTATAACTTTAAAAAAAGACATGTGTTTGAATGGACAACTTGTCTTGACAAAAAAAAAGACAAAGTCTTCCAGCTGTGAGACCGACTCTAATGCTGATGTGTCAGGAATAAGTATCTTTGTGGTCTTTTTTTAATACATTAGAGGCTCAATATGAAAACGATGATTGACTGACTAAAAGCAGAAACCTTGTGGTGCTGACGTTGACAAACCAAATATAGCAAGAGCCTCAAATCTCCAGGCTCCTGTTTGTAAAAGAAAACATGATCCCAACATGTAAAAAAAACCCTCAATAGTTTTCTAATTTTATATTTCTCCTTTGTTCGTGTGTCATAATTTTTTAATAGATGGTAAGGTTATGTTGAATGTAAGGAAGTTTGCTGGAAACACAGAATGTTGTAGTATGTATTTACAATGGTTATCTCCATCAACAGATCAAGGCTATTTCCTAGGCCAGACAATTGGGGAATTGTGTTTGCAGAGAAGAGTTTACTCGTACATTCACAGTGAGATGACATACCCCAGTGGTGTTGACTCACTGGGGGAAAGTTCTTATTTCTCATTAGTAAACACCAGGGAGAAGGAGGAGGCGAGGAGCTGCAGCAAAAATTATTTTGAACAGAGCGTGGAGGGAGGTCGTTCAGAGGAAACCTACAGTCATCAACACTACTTTAACTTTAAGATGGACTCTTATACAGTTTGGTTTGTTTTTATACCAAAGCAGCTTTTTGCCAGGTAAAAGATAATTAACCCCTGACTAATAACAACTAATTCATCATTTGTTAAAGTGTGAAAGAACACGTGTGATTAGCAGACAGAATTAAATTGAAGCTTGAGGTCGGAGCAGGGTGCAGTCTGAACTGCTGCACGGCTCTGCAGCTCCGATAAAGATTTTTTTTGTGTGTGTGTTCTGTGTAGTGTGCGGCTGTGACCTGGCCCAGGGCGGCTTCTTCATGAAGAATGGAGAATATCTGTGCACACTGGATTACCAACGTATGCACGGCACACGTTGCAATGGCTGTGGGGACTTCGTGGAAGGAGAGGTGGTCACTGCTCTGGGGAAGACCTATCATCCTGCCTGCTTTGTCTGCACCATCTGCAAGTAAGGATTATTTTCCTGTCACAATCATTAGCTGGTCAACCAATGACTCACAAAGACAGTTTATCTCCTGTGAATAACCATGATTGAAAAATTGAACTTGTTGCCATGCGCTGCTGTAAATCAGTGGACTCACTCTGGAGAATGTGTTGGCCCAAATAGTCTTAATGTGATAAAGCTGAATGGAAACAGGACATGGAAGTACTCCAGTTTCCTACATTTGTGTTTGGACTGAACTACATGTGTATCTGTGTCAGAGAAATGTCTAGACGTATCTGTTCATGCCTGATCTATTTACTGCGGATCTGTCACAACCCAGTCAGATATGTCAAAAATACCAGTGCCTGGTGTCATGACCGTGTCATCTGTCTAAACGCTCTCCACGGGCAGACGGCGTTGACACATCCACATCATCAGGCCATGTCATCAGTTACCACATCAGACAACCTGAAGGACGAAGCTAATCTCATCGTGACTCACCAGAGGCTAATAGCTAACATCTTGTTATTGTCACCCTGCTTTCAGACGACCATTCCCTGCTGGTGACAGAGTGACCTTTAACGGAAAGGACTGTCTGTGTCAGTACTGTGTGGAGCCTATGTCTCCAGGACCTAAGGACATCCTGGCCTCCAGCAGTAAGTAGTCACCTGAGGGAAGAGGAAAAAACTTGTTTCACAAGTACTTTCATTGTTGATACAAAAGAAAACAAAATATGGTGACAGAGTCCGAGCCAGAAACATCACAGTGACAGTTTATCAGTAAATTAACTACAGAACATCATGAAATCACCTCTCCAGTCATTTTATCGGGTTAGTGGAATTAGAAAGTGCTGTGTTCATCTGCAGGGATGCAATCCTCTCTCTGTTTTTGTTCTTGCTTTTTCCAAACCAAAATAGTCGTTTCAAGTCTTTAGCACACCATGGTGTAGTTGAACCATTTGACAGAACAGCAAAGCTCTTTGCTATTTTCAGCTGGCTGTCCTCCTCCATCAATTTGGCTGGTCGCCTGTATTTAACCCCGGGCTCAGACGTGTCTGTGATGAAGTGCATTTCACTTCAGTACCTAAACCCAGGTGGAATCGAACCCTGAACCATCTGCATGGTTGGAAGGAGTCCTGTAGCTACACCATACAAGCCCACACTGAAGTGTATTACTACCTTGTGAATGTTTTCTCACCTATGACCAGGATGCAGAACAAAAAGAGTGTAAACACATGTAAACAGTGAGAAAATGATGTTATGTACTTGTTCAAAGAAGCCGTGTGGAACTATTTCCCCTTTATTCACATCAAAATATCTTTTACTGTGGCCCCGTGTACAGAGCTGGTTGGACTTGATTTACATATAAATCAGGATCTAAATTGTAAAGATTTAGACCAAAAATAAACCTGCTACTGTTCCCACCATACCATGACTCAGAGCTCAGCTAATTAGCTTCTTCCTACAAAACATCAGCCTTTCCTTGGAAGCAAATCTGCAGGCAGACTTTTTTTTTAAAAAATAAAAAAACTTGGCAGTATCCACCTGTTTCCAGCAGAGGTAGGTGTAACTTCATTTTGGATGCACAGAAGGCCTGTCAGACTTTTATTTCTTTAACAAGATGGTGAGGAGGCAAAGTACTCAAACTTTACTTCAAAGATGAGCTGAATAATTCATCAGACTATTCTACATAACAGTTATGAATAGCAGAAAATCATTTTCAGGTAATTAGATTTAGCTTGAAAACTGTATTCTGAGAGTGTAACATTCAAACACTATTCTTTTCACAATAGCATCATGGTAAACCATTCACATCCCTTTAGAAAAACCACCAAGAAAGAAAGGCCTCGCTAAATATTGCATGGCCATGCATTTCCTCCTCTCTGGAGTAGGGAAGGTGCAGCCCTCCGTCTCCTGCTTTTTTAACTCCTCGTCTCTCCTTTCCTTCTTCCTCTTCTTCCTGTTCTTTATCGCAGCATCTTTTTATTCTTCCTTTCCTACTTTCTCCCTCTTTCACTCAGCCCCAGCGGTCTCTCTGTTGGCTTTTGAAGAGCTTTTAGACAAGGTCACCTATAAATAAGGCATGCTGATGCTCGGCATGTCGTCAACTCAGCCTCATTATGCCTTACAAAGTTAGATTCTCGTGTGGATGCACTGAGCTCATTATTAAAGAGGAAACCTAAAGAAAACCGTAGCTTTAGAAACCATTCTCTTGTACTGTTGGACACAAGAAAACCATGCAAGAGCTGTGGCTGACAGAAGTAGGCAGCTGTCGGAACACCGCCTGTTACCCTCTACTGCCATCTACTGGCGCTTGTCAGAAGAAACAAAGAGCTTTGCCAAAGCTTTGCCCCATGTAACATATTATTTGAAATTCAAACAAATCAAAACGAATGAATTTCAAGCCACATTTTCTGCAACACCTTTGCTCTTTGCAGACTGTGCAGGTTGTGGTCGGGACATCAAGAATGGACAGGCTCTGCTAGCACTGGACCGGCAGTGGCATCTGGGCTGCTTCAAATGTAAAGCCTGCAGCAAAGTACTTACTGGGGAATACATCAGCAAGTAAGCTGCTCACATCTGCTGAAAAAAACCCCAAACAACAAGCTATGCAGTATTGTTGAGGTGTATGTGTTTTTGCAAACATTTAACCTCCTGAGTTTAAATTAAGCTCTCTCCTCTAAGGGACGGTGCCCCCTACTGTGAGAAGGACTACCAGATCCATTTTGGAGTTCAGTGTGAAGCATGTCATCAATTTATTACAGGGAAAGTGCTTGAGGTAAGAAACAGAGACAGATACTCTAAAATATACGTATATACATATATATATACATACATATATATACATATACATATCTATCTATCTATCTATATATATCTATCTATATCTATCTATCTATCTATCTATCTATCTATCTATATATATATATATATATATTGGGTTTATCAACATACATTGATATGAAATGCAAACATCAGTCAGCAGCTTCTTATCTCTGAGCGTTCACTTCCCTGTTAAAATGTTATAAAGGATTCTTATACACAGGACACAGTTTAGTTTTTTTTCCTGGTCAAAGACACACAGACTTTATGACAAAGCACTCTGCATGCAAACGACTTCATGTCATTTATGGGAACTGAGCCACTGTGGCTAGTGGGCCATTTTAACAGCTTAACATTAGTAAATATAGTACATTATATAGTGGACGCCAGGCTGCTGCTGCTGCTGCTGCCGCTGCTGCTGCTGCTGCAGTCACTGACTGTGAGCGGTGCTGATGTCAAGCCTCTTTTGTGTGCTGTTTTTCCAGGCAGGAGATAAGCACTATCACCCCAGCTGTGCAAGATGCAGCAGGTGCAATCAGATGTTCACGGAAGGAGAGGAGATGTATCTGCAAGGTGAGCTCACTGACCTTTGAAAAGCCATTCATTTCCTTTGTTGCTGAGAGGAAGCGATTCCTGTAGAAATCTGTCTTTACATTTTGCTATTGACAGTTCATGATAGTTTGATCCAGTGTCTTTAATGATTTACATCACATTTGTTTTTGTAGAAAAACGTTTCTTTTATAATAACAATAAATAAGTTAATTTTGTTCGTTTTTGTTCGTAATTGTGTTTTTTTCACTTTTTTTTCACAGGATCAACAGTTTGGCATCCTGGCTGCAAGAACACTATGAGATCAGAAGAGAGACACAGGGAACGGGTAGGAATTTGGTTGTCGTTGACTCTGTTGTTATTGACTCTGTAGAAGTGACACCACCCTCCGTCCGTGATTATTGTAAATGTAAAACGGTAAAAGATACGTAAACATTTAAATGTCATTCGGAGTTTTACACAGTGGTTCTCAATGAGCAAATTTCACACAGGTCAACGATCAGTTGCAACAGAGTAACATTCAGTATTTAGTACAGCACTCACTACAGTCACACCTACAGTGACCTGGAGTGAACATTGTTAGCTCTACCTGACATCTGCACACCTGATCTTGAGTTGAGGGGACAGTTTCATTGGGTTATCTGGCTGTTGGCAAGCAAACAGACAGTTCAGTTCATTGTTCCCCAAAGTGGGGGGCGGACCCCCTTGGGGAGCAGTGATTTTTCCATGTTCACATAACACCAAATATGCTGTGTCATCAACCAGAGTTTGTGTGAAGGCCTGATGCAGTGTTAGACAAGTGTGTGTACAGATCCTTGTCCATGTGCATGGTTACACCAGGACGTGTTTGCTGATCTATGTATGTACGTATGTGGACTGTGAGTCAAAGCTGAGAGGCACAACCCCTGTGTGATGTCCTGTGAACCCCCCCCCTCTCCCTTCCTCCACAGCTATTGCCTCCGCCCCTCTTATTCCTTCAAAAAACAGAAAGGCAGGTACTGTATTCACTATTGGCTATGAGATGGCATCATCCTGTGTTCCACCATATAAACCGTACATAGGACACAGTGCACTGTATACTGCCATCTTCTGGAGACAGCCTGCAGTGCCCCGCCCTCTCTGTGTGTCAAATTGAGCCATTCAGCTTTGCCTTTTAAATACTGTACATGTAAATATGCATGAAACACAAGAAAAGAAACTCTCCGATTGGCATATTGTACATCAAAGATGACAAATCTTTCTCTTCTAAAACCTCCATTTGCCCATTAAGTTAAAAGCTTGTTTAATCACACTGCACACAGTTGTGCTGCCATCATCCAAACTGCTCATTACCCATCATCCACATCAAACAGCTTAAAAGCACTCATTCACTTTGGCCAATTTGCAAATGAATGACCCGATCATGAGATGACATGTTCATATTTCTAAAGGTAAACTCATAAATTACAGTTCCCTCTCATTGCTCATACGGTGTAATCACCAAACAATGTGACATGATGAGGATGACAGGGCTCTGTACAAAGGTCGACCAATGGCTGAGGACTAACTGTGTGTTTTCTTCTTACAGCCTTCGCGGTCGTCGTCAGAGAGTATTTGTTCCAGACCTGGTTCAAGCATTCCTGGATCACCAGGTCACACAATCTATGTAAGATAACTCAAAGAGTCTTGACCTTCTTTATGGATAGCGGTGTATGACTGTAGTAACCTCCCCATCCTCTCCGTGTGTACATGTTTGTCTTCATTTGTCCCTAGGCAAAAGTAGACAATGAGATCCTTGATTACAGAGACCTAGCTGCTATTCCAAAAGTCAAAGCCATTTATGACATTGAGCGCCCTGACCTTATTACCTATGAACCTATGTACTCCACCTCCCTGGACGATGAGGAGAGACAAGAGAGTGTTGGAGAGGTAAACACACGGGTGGCATGCTGGGTATTTTGGGATCCACACTGGATTTTTCCATGGGCAGCTCAGTGCCTTAAAACATTGCATTCATAATAATGTTTTGAATTAATGCTCTTACTAATATATGTGTAATGTTAGGAAGAAGTAACCGATGATGTGTTAGAAATACCTTAGCATGTTTTACAGTGTTAACATTGGTTAGAAATAATTTTGACTTTGTATAGATACTTATTATAAAAATATTATGTTGTGGTGCTGTTATATATTTTGTGCCATTACTGTGTTGCAGTTTATGTTGTTTTTTGTTGTTTTACAGTTATATGAAATTACAAACTTTTTCCATTTTTAACACTAAAGAAATGCACACATGCAGTGTGCAGAGCCTTGCCTCTAACCAAGAAGAAACAACAATAAAATGAACATATTTATATTATTATTATTTAAAACTTTTATGGGAACTTTTGTGTCCCATACAGCTCCACACTGCCAGAAGGGAGCGCTCTCCTCTGCCTGATGACAGGGTAAGATACCATATGTCAGTAGTTTTTAGCTACTGTATTTAAAGATACCATCTGTGATATTACTGACTGGTAGAATCATGTGTTCCTCAAACATGTACAAAGTGTTGATTTGGTTTATTTAATTGATTATTTAATTAATTGATTGACTGATTGTTTAATTCCATTCAGACCTCAAGAAATCTGTCACCAACTCCACCCTCAGAGGTGAGTGAATTATATCCACTATATTATATATATATATATGTCACTATGGTAAAGTAAAGTAATATAAGGTCTATGTGTGTGTATGTGTGTGTGTGTGTGTGTGCCAGGGCTCTTACGACAGGAGGGAGCGTATCCTCCAGAGGTCGACCAGTCAGGGCTCTATAGGTTCACCTGTTTATAATCGCCATTCTTACACTCCAACCTTGTCACGGTCACCGCAACATTTTCACAGGCCGGGTGAGTACAGACCTGTTCCCCTTTTCATAAACGACCTGAGATGTTATTTATTAGTGGTTGAAAGGTTTATTGATTGATAAATAATTTTATTTATTTTTTGTTGATGTATTAATGAACTACTGTACTTTTCAGGTCGTTAACAGAATAGCATTTATGGATGAGTTGACTAATCTTAGCATCTCATTTTTCTGACCGTAATCGTTTCCACACCTCTACTACAGTAGTACACCAGGATAACAGTACATGTAAACAGTAAAATGGAATCTTTTTGATTATGAAAAAAATGTCCTTAGCTGTGGTATCATCCAATTGATTTGCATGTAAATGCAGGTCATTTTGATGAATTTAGTGCACGCTATTTTTCCTTAAATTTGTAGTGTGTTAAATTTAAATCATCAATCAATAGTTAGCAAGTTTTAAACACTTGTTTGAAAGTCATAATTTCACAGAAAAAAATTAAACTATACTTAAACCTGATATATAGAACAAGCTCAGCCAAGAGAGCCAATATCTTGCTAAAATAACAAAATAACAAGAAACTAGCCTTGAAAAGCTCAAAGATAAAAAACATATAGAATAAATAAGTAAGAATAGTTATACTAATAGTAAGAAATATATGATAGTCCATGAAGAGATGTTTGTGTTTTTGATAACATTTTGATAAAATAGCATTATACATAATTCAAATTGTCGTGGACAAAATATACCTCTTATAAAAGAAGGACTTTTTAATTTATGTCCATTCAAGGACCATGTTATGTTGCTTTTTGTTACACTTTGGTTTGACCTGATGAAGATTAATTTGCTTTATAAAACAATTACCTTAAAGTTCCAGATTGAAAAGCTCTTTTTTTATATGTATTTAAAATCTAAATCAAATCTCTTGGTACAGTTCTGTTCATCCTCAACACACTTTACCTCACAGCTGAGATGTGTTTTATTTCCTATTTCTGTGTACATTTCCTCTCCTTATGTCCCTCACTTTGCTGCCCTCTATCTCTTCCTCACACCTCTGCTGCCTGGTCCTGGGGATCTGTCCCCCGTCCCACCTCCCATCCTATACTGCAGAGGCTCTGACAGGCATGCAGAAGCTCTGCTCCTCCCTGTGCAGTAACAGTGTGGGCTCCAGAAATAATGATTCCCGCCCTACCTCCCCTTTCAGACACCACTTCCTCCCCCATAGCCAAGGTAAGGGCCCCAATTAGTTCTTCTCTACCCACCTGAAAGGCAACACATCATCGTCATCATCGTCTCAGATTCCCAGTTCATTCAACCATATACCATCTGCAATTCTAGCTCTGCTGTCTTCGTTCATTTAGCCTAAACCTGCCATTCTGAATGGGTGGATCCATGTCCTAACTCTACCTACGCAGCCACAGCTCTCAGTGTGTTTACATGACAGAAAAAAAGGAAATATTGTGTTTACTTTGAAAATCAATGTGTTTGGCCAAATAAAAAATGACTTAAGTACTTCAGACATTTTGGTTTTAAATGCGGTTCCTTCTTGTGCTGAGTAATACTCCTGACAAAATTAGAAAAAAAAACCCCAAAAAACAGAAGGCTCCTTAACTGCATTTTTAGTCTTTAAATGAAATTAACACTATATTAGCACTATATTTAAATAATTAAATTATACATGACAAACTTTACTGTTTGATATGTGTGTGACCTAACCTCACACACCCTGCTGCTGGTCCCCGAAAAATGATCTTGCATAAAATGGTACGTGGTTGAGATTGGGAACCACAGGTTTAATCCTTAAAACAAGTTCGTTTTATTGCTGTTTGTTTGCTAGGTTTCTGACTGTTAGCTTGTCGACTCAATACCAACATGTTGCCAATTAGTGGCGTCTCTATTTGTAGCTCAACTGTCTATGTAAACACACTGTAAACACACAGAGCAAATAAACATCTGCTAATGTTTGATTGGCTTTGTGTTTGCAGCTTTGCATGCACTTAAATTACATATATTGTTTTTTATATTTGCATAAAAGCTCCCCTAATTCTGCAGTGAACCCTAAGAACAAGCAAAGAAATGTAAGAATTCCCTGAAGTGTTTACTTCTCAACATCCATTTATGAACTAGTGTAACATCATCCCTAATCAGAAACACCATCAATCATTTAACCTTGACACGTTAAGCTCTGTCGGCTTCACCTGCTGTTGTGCCATCTTTACACAGTCATTAAGCAGCCAGAGAACCAAGTGCAGGTGTTCCATCTGCTTAGTACTTTCATCGGCCCTGTGTGTCGCAACGTTCATACTATAGTTGCCCTTTAGTCCTGCTTATGTTCTGTTCTTGGTTGTTCTCACTGGAGGCACTGACCCACCAAGCGGCCGGGGCTCCCCTCTCCCGCTCAGGCCTGACAGCCGGCCGATCACACCGCCTATCTCTCTGACCCCTAAACATTTCCACCTCCCAGGTAGGAGCTGGAGCGCACCCTGTCACTGCTCTACCCTCTCTTTCTTTCTTTCTTTCTTTCTTTCTTTCTTTCTTTCTTTCTTTCTTTCTTTCTTTCTTTCTTTTGTTCCTGCTCCCTGTCTTTTTTTCTTTCTTTCATATACTTGTTTTAGGGTCACCTGTTGTTTTCCATCATATTTTAACTATCCATTTCTATTGCAGGTATAGGTGCCTTTTACATGAATGATGAGAAATTGAGACACGTTTTTTTTTTAAACAGCGCTGTTGTCATCCCAGTAAAGTCATCTTCTGTCTGTTTTTCAATGTTTTCAGACCAGGGGAGCAACATCTACAGAAAACCACCCATCTACAAACAACATGGTATTTCTCTTTTTTGTAATCTATCTAATAGTACACTGTAGTACTGTGTATTTTATTGTGCATCTGCCTTAGAGTTCCAAACCCAAAGTATTACTGAATGTGATGTACTTTACAACAAGGAATGGGTCATTAATGTGCCAGTTTAAAACTGTAGCTAGCAGTGAGCTAAGTCTATTAAATAGCCTATTCCATTTAAATCAGTGAAGAAGATAAGCCTGTGCTAAAAGAATCGGCTTGTAATTGTTGGGATTGCCGTCCCTGACAGGACTGTGGTGTGTTGATCAAGCACCAAGTTAACAAAAACAAGTTAACAGATTAATATTCTACAGAACATTTAAATATATATATACTTTAAACAAACATCTAACCCTTGGTAAATACTGTTTTATGCTAAAAATGCTTTTGACAACAACCATCTGACGTTTTCATCCTCCAGTGTGAGTGTATCAGCATCGTTTGAAGTCTGTCTCTGATCCTCCTCTGTCTATCCAACAGCGTTTTTACTGCATGTCTTTTCTCCTGAGCAATTCACAGGAGCTATAACATCATTAGTACGAGGTTAGGTACATATGCTGATGACAACACATTGTTTTGTAACATATTGTAAAGGCAGCATCTACATAAGCAGAAGACTCCAGACGTTATACAACGCCTACAGTATAAAAGACAAACAAAATAGGAAAATTCTAGAATTTATGTTCTGTTCTATGTGATTTTTGTCCCGCCTGTCTTTCCTCTGCTGCACTTTGCTGCACTCTACCTGGGCATTTTTAGCTTTCTGCCATCTTCCTTGTACACAAAGAGGTATTATTATATAAAACAATAATAAATAGAACAAATGTCACAGTGCTTTATACAGTGAATCACACACTTATCCAGTACACAGTGCCACCTTAAGTATGATTTTGCTCAGTGTAATTTTAACTGTACAGTACATATAAAATGCTGACCTTCTGGAACTGTAGCCTTTTGCAGGTGGCTCTGGATTACAAGACAAAGACAACTAGCAAAAAGCCCATCATTTAGTTTTTCACCCGTTTTTTTCCCAGTGGCAAAAACAGGATATTTGGTGCAGCGTATATTTTGTCTTTGGTGGTAAATTGTATTTTTGCTAACACTTACAGGCTAAAAAATAATTACAAACACAATGCAACATGAACTAGTTTAATAGCAGAGACCGTTGTGCATGACCAGTTTCATAATAGGTTTATAATAGATATAACACCTACTCCTTTTAAAGTGGTCCCATATAGAACCTTTGTCCCAATCTGTTAGGGCCAGTCATGGTTGAGGTAAAAAAAACAAACAAATCAGCATTATTCACTTCCTGAACAGTTACTGTACCCTCTGGACTATAAGTTGCACCAAGTATTAGTCGTATTTGTAAAAAGATGCTTCGTAAAGAGGAGAAAAACATACATAAGTCTATACATATTGACATAAAGAGGCGTTCAACAATTATCTGATAACTAACTGGGTTTTATATTGTCTTACTTGCCGTAACAGTATACTCCAACAAAGGCAATAACAGCGGCAAGCAATTTCTACTTTGAGATTTGAGACACGGCTGATTTAATTCTTCTTTGATGTGAACTGTTGGTTCATACTGTGACCCTGACACTTATAGATTCAGTTCCCATGATTACCAACCTAGATACAGCTGCTGTAGCTCACCAAAGCAAATCGGCTGATGAGATCATCAGATCGGCCACCTTCCCTGCAGCCCATGCTCCTTCCCCAGACGACAGCCCGCGGAGTGAGGGCGATCATTGGCCCTACTCTCTGACTGTATTAGGTACAGTAGGCTCCTGATGGGTATGCTTGCACTGCTACCTTCAAGTAGAGAAATAGACACAATGACACAT